AAAAAAAAAAAAAAAAAAAAAAAAGAAGTAAACAAAAACTAAACTGTTAAAATTAACTGTGGAAACTCCATTTTAAATTGAAAGCGATGCTGAAACGGTTCAAAAGGAACGCTTTACGTGTTAAACAACAAACACTATTTATCCGAAAAATTCACCACTAAACGCTTTGAAGCCAGCAGATAAAATCAAATGCATGTTTTACGGTAAAAGTTTTGCACAGAAAGAAAACCCTGATCTTTCTTAACAAATTTTAGCTACAAAAATATGATTCCCCGTATTAAAAATCATTACGGTAAATTGACACCAAGTGGGCTGTTAGCGCTCCTCAGCGCCTATACAGCAAAGAAACTTCCCAGATAAAAACAATGAACTTGTTTAGCCTACAGCCAGACAAAAATAAACTATCAGACCTCAGAGACTACAGAAAAAACAGCTATCAGTTGACCTAACAATTACCAGAGTAAAAAAAGAGAGAAAAATTAAAAATAAACAGAGGCAACACCCACTTTGAAAACAGTTGAGCAGATCATATGTATCAATCAAAAATTTAAACAACTTCTACACGCCTAGCACAACAAATAACCCTTCAGAAATGTAAAAAAAGCATTCATAAAACTCAATTCACAAACCGCAGAATAAGAAGTAACGTCTTCCAGTTGAAAATCCTTCCCAAAAGCAAAAAGAGACCAAAATCAACGTTTCTGAGAAAAAGAAAAAATCAGAATTCAAGAGAAAAGAAAATTTTAATAACATTCATTTTATATTAGACGGCGTAGTAGTGAACAAATTACATACCTAGAAATCCGCCACCTTTGCGTCCTCGATCGTAACCTCTGTCTCCGAAAAACCTATCAGATTCCCCAAAAAAATCATCTATAAAAAAAATATTTGCATTTTTGCAGTGACAGTTCTAAATAGCCCAAGATAAGCAAATCCTGACCAAAAAATGCATTCACAATTAAATGAAAGTGAGAAAGCATGATTATCAAAGCAGATAGTGCCAAAACTGGAAAAAAATTTTTTTTCAGGAAAAAGATAAATTCGTTTTTTTTCTCATCACCGACAGTATGAAAAAAATACCAACTAAAATCCAATCTAAAATACTCAATTTTTACAACCGCCTAAAAAACAAATTTTGAAAAAGTAAGGTCTACTCGTCTGCCGGGCTTTCAAAGTACGATTAATTATTAATGACCAAAAAGTTTTAAGCAGTCTTGAAAAGTGACATTAGCTCAGTATTTTTTTATAACAGCTGTTCCATGAGATTAGTCTAAGTCTCAATATGAACGAAGTAGGCAAAAAAATAGAAGAAAGTCTCACAGCTCCCTTAGCATACCAGCTTAACATGCGGAACAGACATTTTTTTAGTAAATTCTAGCAAGCACAACAAAGCTTGCATGTCTGAACTAATAATGGTTATCCATGTTCAAAATGCCGAAAATAATATATAAATAAATAAACAAACAAACAAATAAAGTAATAAAATAAATGAATCAGATAAATGAATAAATAATTAAATAATAAGAACAATAAAAGAACAACCAAGCGATCAAGAAAGTCAGTCAAGGCATTCCTTTAAAGATCAGTAAATTATCAATTTCAAAAACTTAATTGATTAAAAACATATCTCTACCTATAAAGCCTGGGAAACCGCTTCCAAAACCGACTCGTCCGAGTTCCTGATTACGTTTCAAGTTATATTCTTCATCCTTGTAACCTCCACCATAGCCACCAATGTTACTGGCATAACCATGCCCAAATTCCGGATAACCAGATGATTGACCCCCTCCAAACTGTCCTCCACCATACCCACCTCCATAATTTCCCTGTTGGCCCTCAACATAAGGCTTATAACCGTATCCTGGAGCTGCAGTCCCCCCATAAGTTCCAGAACCATATGATTCTGGGTACCCGGTCGCTGGACTATATCTGCCTCCATAATGGTTAACTTCACCAGTTCCATAGGGCTCGTAGCCGCCTGTATTATGACCGGGCGCAGGGCTGTATCTACCTCCACTCTGGCTGCCACTGTTCCCAACATTCCATCCGTAGGCAGGTTTCTGGTCGTCACTTCTGCCACCATAAGCATTATTACTGGGATATCCACCCCCATAACTATCATATCCTGAAGGAGGAGCACCAGGTCTCGTATGTTCTTCTAAAGCACATAAATCACATATTTTAAACATATTTGGTGATGCACATCAAAAAACAGCAACTACAATAAAACAAATTTAGAAGATATTAAGAGGGGTCCCTACAGAAACTTTAGAACAAGACACTAGATATTTTAAGGTATTCAAGAGGACACCAAGTACGCAGATTTAAAGATATTTGGCAAAAACACTGTAGCTTTAGCTTTAATTTAGGTAGCACCCGTCCAAATCAGACCGTTTTGGAGTTTTTAAATTTCGGCAGCTGACAGTTGTGCTACGTAAATATCAGAGCCTGCAGACCTAAACTCGTATGTACTCTAAGGAAAGCTTACAATTTTCAGTTTGGTTTTGGTAACGAAGAAAACAAAATATAATGTTGCATAGTTTGCGTTATTCTTAAAAAGAATTCATTTGGAAATTAAATTTTTAAAACAAAAAAAGGTGAAGATGCCAATTAGCAAGTAAAAGCCCACTGCCAGCGTGCTTAATCAAAGTTCTGGCTCTTTTTGCTGCACTCACTGTTTTGAACCTTATAGCAGAAGCTTCTTCTTAATGACTTGCAAACAAGCTTTTCGATAGAACCCTCGAAAAAGAAATGTACTACGAATATCACCACAGGTTCAAAGATAAAATTATTTCATTCAGAACCTTCATATTTCAGACCATTTTTTTAATCTGTACAATAGGCCTGTACTGATCCCACTTATAAAATTAATCTGAACTAATTTCATTGACCCAAGAAAATAAGATGTTCCACTCAATTCAAATTAAGCGGAAGACTGCAAAGCATCAAGCAACACTGATAACAATCTTTCAAATCTAGCACTTTGTGAATTAAATTCTTTAAATATACAAAATATCATTTATAAGACTTCTGCGTTTCAAATATCGCTTCCTCTCCTTTACACAAAAGAATTTATCCAGAATATATAAAGAAATTAGATTCTTCATAACACTAAGGATATTTTCAGTTTTTACAAGCTGAATAAAAGAATGTCGCTTTTTTGTACATCAAATGTTAAAGAAACATGAGTACTTTTTGCTTTGACAGCAAAGAATCTAATGAGGCTAAAAAAAGCATTGTAACTGTGGATAGTATCAAAAGATGCAGGAAGGATGGGAACTGTAGACTGCTCAAGTTTTCAATTCCTTTCCTTCTTAAGATCCTCAAAATCGACTTTTAAATTCAAAAGCTTTCCCGAAAGTATGCGAATAAATAAGCAACAACAGAGCTTAAAGCAACGTGCAAGAAAGATACCCTCCGTGAAGAAAATAATGCATGAAGATACTTCTCTTCGCAAAATTCCTGAAGCTAAAATACAGAAGTTTCACTTACCTGTATAACTGCCGGTATTACCAACAATAAATCCAATGTTTCCATTTCCAACTAAACCACCAAATTTTTCATCATTAACTCTGACCTGAAAAAATTCCCTTCATTGTACCTTACAGTTATTAATCCACTGAAAATAGACTTGTTCTACGTTCATATTTTTGTATGAACGGGAAACAGTGTTTGTAGCAGGAAGACCAACGGAAATTCCAGGAACTCTTGCAGAGGAGAGCAATAAAAAAAACCAAAAAATCCTTAGAATTTAAAGAATTTTGGTTGCATAACGATGTGCCAACTGCTTTTGATAAGCCATATATTAATGGTTTTTTTTAACTTTGACCATTGGATGAACAGTTTTGCCGACAACAATTCGACGCAACTAACCATATAACATTCATCTTCAATGTTGTCCATAACGATATAACGTTCCTGAAAAATTCTAATATAGGTTGATTATGATAACCAAAATGTTGAGATTAACACCTTTTAAAGTTTTCATCATCTGAAGTGAACTCGAAATGTTTATGCAATTGACTTATATCTGTTTATTATTGTTCCCGTATAACGCTTATATAAAATCAATATAGTAATGAAAAAGAAAAATTCATTTTTTGTCGTTCGTAACAGAGTAAATAAGATCTAAAAATATCTGGTCATATGGTATATGAATCAACAGGTTTACGCATATCTTTCAAAATGTAATTGCTAACACGTTCACAACAATAATCGTAACAGTTGGAAGACAAACATTCGGCCGGCTTAAACAGCAGGAAAAAAAAAATTGTTTGGAAATTAAGAATCTGTTTCAGCTGCTACAAACGCTGCTGATACGTTCTAAATTATTGTCTAGAAGCTAAAGCCTAAAAAATTCTTGACAAGTTTAAACTGTAGCACTTACGTCACCGTAAGCCAACTGAAATATTGTTCAGATCTGTACCGTTATTTCCGTTATACATTTTCGGTTACTCATTGGACAGTTGGAAAAAAAAAAATTCTTATTTTTTTTCGTACTTTTTTTAACTCAACTGACAACAGTAATTCAAAGATATGTTTATGGAGAGAAGCAGCAGCAGACAATTATTGAACGACTGAAGAGAAAGTGTTGTTGTGAGATTAGCATTAAAGCTAATGAACGAAACAAATGGATTCAAACAGTTTTTTCTTCTGTTTTCTCTTTTTTTTTTTTTTTGCTGCAGACCAACTCCCAGACAGCATTCAATAATACATAGAGATCTTTTTTCGTTCCATCCGTTGCATTTCCGTGTTATGTACATTTACTTTAAATTGTAAATTTTAGACAAAACAAATGCCACAAAAGAGAAGAAACAAACTACTGCTAAGCTAATAAATTTAGCCAAAAAAAAAAATCAAAGAAAGAGCACTAAGAGACCACCAATTGTACAGTATAAATAGTTGATAAAAATTTTACATTTTTTTTAAATATTCTAACAGCGGGAAGACAGCCGTTTTGAAAAATGGACAACAATTTTGGATAGAAAAAATAAATTTTCAAAGTGTCGCCAAAAAAAAAATTTGCTTCCCGTCAGAAGAAGCTTTATATGTCTGAGAAATTGTCGTTGTGATGTTTCAAAATGTAATGTCGCAAAAATAATAAGGAAATGAGGGCGAAAAAAAAAAAAACATCAAATAGTCTAGCATAAGCTCAGTAAGCATTAAGTGCACCCAGGCTGAAATTAGACTGGAGAAAAAAAATGAGACGATGGAAAGGAATGGAAAATAGACTAACACATTAACTGCATCAAGTCAATTTTTGAGTAGTATCAGTCGAACCAAATTCAGTGTCTAGCGCCTATTTTGAGATATGCCTTTTAGGCAACAACAACAACCGGGACAACAAATCTGCTCGAATTTCTGATTTCATCATTACTAAACTGATGTCAAGTTTTTTTTTTTTTTTTCGTTTTGAAGAAGACACAGATCAACAAGGCAGCAACAACGGCAAAAAAGATGAAGAAAAGAAAACAATTTTTGAAAGTTAACACAGGAGAAATTTTGATTCTTTTTTTTTTCATATAAT